AAGGTGCTAATAATGTCTTGATAAGGGCCATACACCATGAAAGATGAGCTTGAAAAATTTTGCCCATGTTGAATCTTTAACGGTCATCAAGGACTGAAACTTGTAGGTAGGTCAAGGAAACTTAATTATGTTATTCACATCAACTGTAAATTTTTTGTTTTCAGAATCTTCGTGTCTTAAGCATAAGCATCCAATTTTCAATTTCAATAAGGTGTGGCCATTGTTTTAGCTAGAACCACTTGGATTTTGATTTTGCAAAAATGCTTGGTATGAATTTGGACACTGTTTTAAGAAGCACACATTGTGGCATATGTCCTGGTATTCACGATTAGCTATAATCATTCCTATAGGAGAGGGGTGAGCATATACCACCAGAAGATTCTTTTGAAGTGGCAAGGAAGATTAAAGAAGCATATTGCTACACGTGTTCGGACATTGTAAAGGTAATTTGCTTTCTATTTATTAGTTAATACATGATTTGAACTCAGGAAGGGGAAATATTGGCTTTTGATGCTTCGTGTAAATTTTTCTTAATGCTGTATCAACTCTCTTTATGAATACCGCTTTGTGGATGATGGATGATTAAACTTCTGTTTACACATTTCTGGTGTTTTAAGGAAATTACTATAATTAAACGACTTCATTTGGACATTGTCTGCTGCATGTAGATATGTTCATCATGATTATAATGTTTCTTGGGTAAAATGATCATTAATTTACACAAGATCTTAGAGCATAAAAGACGTGCATTAACTCCATAATAACGTCTGCATTTGAGTAGTGGATTTTATTGAACGGTAAAGTGAACTCATGCGTGGACTGCTCGTAAATCTCTCATATAATTATAGCCCAAAATTTTTTTCGATGGAACCTTTTGATGGTAGACAGCTAGAGATGATCCAGTAAAAATAAATCCACTCATAAGTGGCCATTTTAAGTATATATTTAACTACTTTATGGGATTTAATTGTCAGTAAAATCATGTTATTGGATTTCTTATCAATTTAAATGCAACATGCTTATGTGATGTGGGAGCTCAATAGTGTTCTATGATTTTCTCATTCTTAAACTTCGTGTGAGATATCTAGTTAACTGCTATGAATTATGCGGCAATAGATTTAGCAATAAGAAATTAAGAACTTCTAATAATTGTTAGCTGTTATATTTTCAATGACTAATTATTTTATTTTATGATATCAGGAATTCAATAGGCATGACAAAGAGCCTGGTAAATATACAAAGCAATGGGTTGGTACTAAACCAAAGACTGGGGTGCGATACTCTTGTGATATTGGATATGAGCGTTTTCTTGGTCCTGAGGTATAAATCCTATCTTGCCACTTCAATTGATTTTGGCTTTCAGACCAATTCTTATCATGAATAACTTGACAAAATTGTCATAATATGTTCATATCATGCAGATTGTCTTTTGATATAGCAATTTGTAATATGAAATCCTCACAAGATTTATTTCAACTGTTGTAGAGGTATTGATTAAATTGCTCTTTCATGAAATGCTATGAACCAAATCTTTTTACAAGTGATTTAAACTGATTTTTGGATTATCATAGTATCAAAGCAGGTATTTTTTTCAAATTATTTCTTCTCTGTCTTGTTTCCTTCAAATTGCTAATCTTGTTATGGTATCAGTGTTAGAATTTCTTGAAATGATCTTTGATTTGGAATCTGGAAATAGTAGATAACTACCTTGATGTATAAGATGCGATGAAGCTTGGTTTTTACCATGGTCGGTCCAGAAAGATATGAGCTACAAATATATGCACTGACATTGCAGAATACCTTGTTACACTTTTTCTTAATCAAGGGCTGTGGTAGAGGCTTGTGTCATAACTTAACTTTCTCGTGATCACTAAGCAAGCTATTTGATAAGATGGTATCTTATTATTTAGTTTCTCCGCTAACTTTGTAGATGCTACATCCAACTGGTATCATCATTAATGATGCACAAACATATTTATGCTGTACACTTCATCAGACCTGAATAAATTCTTGCGTTTCTAATCACCTTCTACCAGTTTTTGTCCACAGATGACTTGATGGATGTATTTTTTTCCATCTCAGGCGTTTCATGTGTCTTAATTTCTCCATAGCCAAATGTCTAATTTTTTTGGGCTTTAGTCTTTCCTTTTGAAGTCTTTTTGGAGCCCATTTGTGCTATTATCTGCTGGTCATTTTGGCTGGAAAGGATTTTGTGGCTATGGGGTTGAATGTGTGACCTTCTGTTTGCTGTCATCTGGCTTAGTCTGGTCAAACTGCATTGCAAAATTTTAAATTTGACATTAATTTTCAAAGCTTATGGACAATTTGAATAATGTGTTTTTGTGGTAATAGTCCTACTGATAATGAGCAGTTGTTTTGTATGTGTTGCTAAAGTTACTCCATGGACTTCTAATTTTTTGATCCTTTTACTATTTTCAATACAATTTTGGAGTTCGTATGATATGTTCACTTCTTTTTCACTAATAAAACAGGACTGCATTCACAACATCCTGTTGTTTGTTCATTGCCGTTGTTTGTATTTACATCTTAAGCATATGTTGTTATTGCTGTTTGTTTCAAAAATTGGTTTGTTATATGTGCAGATTTTCTTCCATCCTGAGATATACAATAGTGATTTTACCACTCCTTTACCTGCCGTTGTTGACAAATGCATTCAATTATCACCAATTGACACCAGAAGGGCTCTATATAAGGCAAGTGTTCAAATATTGTGGCTTCACAATTTAACTTTCCAGTTTCTAGCCATCATACATTCATGTTACTGTCTCAGAATATAGTGTTATCTGGGGGATCAACCATGTTTAAGGACTTCCATAGAAGACTGCAACGAGATTTGAAAAGGATAGTGGATGCACGGATTGTTACATCTGAAGCCCAATTCAAAGATGTAAAAGTAAGTAGTCTAATAAAATTCAATCTTCTTCAGCTGCTTGTATAGGGGGCTAATTTTTTGTTGTTTGGACTCTAGGCTCAACCCATTGAAGTTAATGTTGTCAGCCATCCTATTCAGAGATATGCAGTTTGGTTTGGAGGTTCTGTGCTTGCATCAACTTCTGAATTTTATGGGGTAATTCTGAACTCGACTTAATGTTTGCAATTATCTAACTAGCTAAAATAGGAGAATAAAAGCTCTCATTTAAGTGCGTCAAAGTGTCAAACTCTATATTATGTTTATCAAATGATTTATAATCTTTGCATTGTATGTATGACAGAACATTGGATTCAGTAGATATTCAAGTACAAATACACTTTTAATCCTTTGGTCGACCATGATTTGTAGAACTAAAGTATGATTTACTTTAGGTTTCATATCTGTAAAGTTTTAGGATCTTTCTGAACTAGAGTGTGATTTACTTTAGAACTAAAGTATGATTTACTTTAGTTCAGAATGATCCTAAAAATTCTGAACTAAAGTATGACTTGTAGAACTAAAGCAGATATTCAAGTTATCTGTATGACATATATGTATGATCTCAAACAACAGAAGCCCAGATTTACTAGATCCTAAAAATTGATACGAGATCCTAAAAATTGATACAATCTTACCACCATATCAGCTCATTCAGAATGATTCTTTGGGACCTCAAACATTTATAAGAATAGATCAGAAGGTACACTGTCTTTTAGTTAATACTCAAGACATTTGTAATTGTAATCTTTTTTTTTACGTCACTGTGAATTTTTTCCTTGCATTGTGGATTTAAATTGGATGCTTCCCTTTTTCATGTAGGCTTGCCACACAAAAGCAGAATACGAGGAATATGGAGCTAGCATATGCCGAACGAATCCTGTCTTCAAAGGAATGTACTGAAATCGAAGGATTGAATGCCAGCATAAACAAAGTTCATAATCTTTTATGAAGCCACAAACGGGCAAAAATCATTCCCAATCTGTACATTTGAGAGGCAACCAGAGGGGATTTTCAAGTTGTATATTAGATGTGTCATTGCCTCAGGTATGAATTACCATAGCAGTGATCTCTGAATACCCTGTTTGTGTTTTTTGTTTGGGTTATTCAGCACATATTCCTGTAAACTTCTATGGGATTATTCAGAACAAAGATGAATCACACCAACTCTCTCTAAGATGTCATATACTCTGTCCAAGCAAATGAACTGCCATGGTTGTGTTAATATTTCAACAGCACCAAACTATTTACTTTTAGAGAAATAACAAACTTGAGCAGAAGCATGCTTCTTTGATGTTATCGGTGCAAATGCCATTGGTTCATAATTGCTTTAAGGAACAGGCAAATTAATTGTGGAATTGTGACAGTCGAAGCAGGTTTAAATGAGACAAAATCTGTGGGATTATTAACTGTTTTTGTTGGATTTACGTTTTCCAATACATGGCCAAATTTGGTTGGACTCGATGAGCAATGCAAGTTGGCACCTCAGCGGTACGAAGTTGAGAGAAAGTTTTTGGCCTCTAACGTACATTTCAGCAGTGTTTGAATCGTGGAAGTAAGTAATATTTTGCTTCGATCCTCAAATCAGTTCGATTGACTAATTAAATTCCCTTCGATGCTTTATATGTTATTAAAGATATTTATTTTTTAAAATATACATCTAAATATTTTTTAAAAGATGAAAGAAAAATTTATATACGTCAACGTATTTCTTCTCTAGTTGTTGTCACTACTATATAAATAAAAAAAATATTTTACATAATATTATTTATAATTATTTTATATTTAACATATTATATATATATAATAAATTCATTGTCTGATTAATTGATTCAATGGTGACACGGTTTTGATTCTGATGATGATAAAATAATAACGTGCTCCATTTCGTTCTCTCAAAACAAGGAAATAAAGAGTTGGTGGGGTCGGGACATGGAAAATGTGAAGGGACGTATTTTCGGTGACCCGTGCCGGTCTGTTACCGGCCTACTACTTCGTGGGGTGTGACCCCAAGCCCCTGTCACTCTCTCTATCGACTGTAGCGAACTTAACGTGCGGGACCCGCACGTGAAGGTGCGGCTCTTTTCTACGTCGGTTGCGGTTGGACGTGAACCCTGCGCATCTCCTCTCCCGGCCAAAGGAAGCCGGACGACTCCGTCCGTCTCACCGATCCTTAAGCTGCCCCGCTTCCCCCCGCCGTTGCGATCCTCGCGAGGTACTCTGGTTCTCGCCGCCGCCGCAGGCTCCTCTTCTCTCCTCCTCTCCTTTCCCTGCTTCTTCCGTCCGCCGCTGCAATTTGAACAATGATGTTTCGACTCAAGGCGAAACCCTAACCGGTAAATTAGCTCGACGACGAATGATTTGCGTGCTTTGTCCGCATCTTACCCCGCGAATCCCCCGATTACCTTGGACTAGAATACTCCGGGCTTAGCATCGAAGCTACGCCGATGACTTGATCGTGTTTTCATCGTCTGATTCTTGGATTGTTGTTGCCTTTCGATGTGCAACAGTCCCCTCCCCTAGAAGCACAATAGAAGCCTTTTTTTCCCCTCAAAGCTTGGCAGATGCTGATCACTAGTTCTAGGAAGAATATTATAACTCTTTTTTGGTGTGTACCAATAACTTGGATAAATCAGCACTTGATAAGGCCATAGGAATGCCTCTTCTAATAGACATTTGTCTCTGATCTCATGTTAACAGTATGCTCTTTTGTAGAACTTGCCAATGACTGCAGAGGACTATTATCATTTCAGTTTTGTGCCGTCTAATGTCTCTCTCCCCCTCTCTATTTATTTTTTTCACTTTGTCATGACTCGCTTTAACTTGCGAATTTAAATCCTTGATTTCGAATCAACGAAATATTGTACATAAAATTGAAATGGAATATCCTGACGTGTTACAAGATTTGCAAGATGAAGGGAGTATGAGTTGCACAGGTACAAAATATGATGTAGCAGGAAGAAAGGGTGACAGCCTTGTATGGAATGAATAACCAATAGTCTTCTAGAGCCACTGAGTAGATGGCTAGGCTTCTAGGTTATGGTTCCACATTAGATTTGTTCATAAATCTGCATGGTCTATATACCATGTATTCTGTCATGCTATGTACTAAATGGAACTAAAAGCTCTAGTCAGTCTGTTCAACAATAATATATTTCCTTTTTGTATAACACGTCATCTTCTCTGTACCAATTTGGACTAGAGATATTTTTATCAAAACACTGCATGCATTTGCTTTGTTTTGCTTGATTAGTTTGCCAATAAACTTTTCATGCTATTTTGGTTATGATCATTGTCTCTGCTAATTATTTTTCAGATCAAGCACCTGTTCTATTCGTGTTAACAGGACTTCTGCTTCTTTCTTACTTCCTTGTATGTGGTCATGTAATTTAATGTGACTTACTCAAAACATAGGGCTTGGGACCTTCCGTGCCGCTACAATGATCTTATCTATCTCTTATGGATATTCTTAGTTGAGCTTAAATTATATACAAAATATTGGTAATTATTTTTAGATTGTTATAAAAGTTTGCTTTATGCTGGATTTTTTGTAAATAATTTCTTATGCAATTACTATGTTTTGCAATATTGTTATGATATACTTACCAAGTTCTGTTATTGTGATTGATGATGATTGAATTCTTCAATATGCAATGCTTTGTGCTTAAATTATTAGTGATTGTTGTATGATATGTGTGTCCATCTTGTTGATCTTGGTTTTGATTGTTTAAGTCACTAGTTTCTGATTTGTTCAGAATATGTCATCTGATATATCCATTTCGGTGGATGATGTTGATACTGTTGTTTTGAGTGGAGCACATATGGCATTGATAGGTTATAAAGAAAAAGAGGCAATTTGAACAAACCACATCATGCCTCAATAGTCTAGACTCAAAGATGAACATTCAGAGGCACAGGTATTTCATCAGGCTTTAGGAAGGAATTTATGTTTATAGGATCTGTGATAGATTAAGAAAAAGGAACCTTCTCTGTGATATATTTCATGTTAGACTGGAGAAGTAAGTGGCTTAGTTTTTGCATAATGTGTGGCATAATGTCAAAATAGGGTAATTGTT